ACATATTAACTATTTGGTACTTACACTAAATTGAAATAGACGCGAATGCACGTCAGCGTTACTGACGATATAGTGATAAGACGCGGTGTAAGAGAGGGGTGTGTTTTGTCGCCCATGCAATTCAACCTCTACTTCGAATACATATTTTCGAGGCCTTATATGCGGAGGGAGCAAAGATAGGGGGCGAAATTATAAACAACGTAAGGTACGCAGATTACACCGCCGTCATTGCAGAATCTATGGATGACCTGCAGATCCTGCTGAATAGAGTGTACGAAGCTGCACGAAGATGGGGTATTAACATAAACATGACAAAAACGAAGTGGATGGCGGTGTGTAAAATAAACATAAAACTAATTTCGATCACAATCAATGGACACAACATCGAGCAAGTAAGACACTTCAGATATGTTTGGATAGCTGGATGAACAATGAAATAGCATGTGACGAAAAGGTAGGACTAAAAATTTAAATGGCACGCAGGGCGTTTGGTAAATGGAAAACCACTCTTTTCAACAGAACTCGCGGTTACATATGGAGCATTCTTCTGTACGGATGTGAGACATGAAAGCTTTAGATCTACACCATATATAAAATTGAAGCCTTTAAAATGTTGTGTTATCGGAGAATCCTGAAAAACTCTTGGACTACGGACACCAGCAATGAGGAAGTTCACGGACAACCAGACAAAAATCGGGAACTCTTAAATACTATAAAAACAGGAAAGATCAGCTGCTTTGGACACATAATGCGAAGTACCAAATATCACATTCAGAAGATGGATAAGGACTTGGACTGGACTGGGAGTGAAACAGCTGTTCCGAGCAGCAAAAGTTAGAGGAAGATTTCGTCAAATTGTCATGAAGATAACTCACGCCTGAAGACAGGCACGGCATCGAGAGAGATTTAATCCACATCAAACAGATGTGAATCCTCTATTTAAAATAAAAACAAAAAGAGGTTTATAAGTAAGTTTAAGGAAAAATTTAATGTTTTTTAAAAACAATGCAAATCAGCTATATTCCGTTCAGTCCACGATACACCTAAATATTGTTTTATACCAACATTGTTATTGTAACAAACTTTTTGTGTGTATCGTTGTTCAGTCACAGTAAAAAGACCCATGTACTAAAGGTATCGCAAAAATGTGTAGTCAACTAGTTGCAACAATATTAGACCTAAAATAAATTTCCAAGAACGAAAATTCAAAAAACTAAATCAAAACTAAAAAAGGCCTAATAACTAAAATAAATTATTAGCCTTCATATTGGATGTAAGTATATCATTCACTCTCAGAGGTTGTTAACTCTAGAGAGTCTTAGTTAGGCCATGTATCACAAGTAGTACAGCGCCTCGTATCACACGAGATCCTCGGCATAGTGGACAAAACTATGAATCATTACTCTCAATTGTACTTTAAGAAGTTGAAGTGCTAGTTTTGCTGGTATTTGGCTGGGGTGATTAAACCTGCTGAAACAGTTTTTTTGTACCTGTAACCTTTTAAGATTTCTTTGGTACCAAATCGCGAGTATCCATTAATGTATATATATTATTATATATGTATATTTTTCTGTAAGTTGCATTTTGTTCAGTTCTTGAGGTAACAAACGGATTGCTTATCCAGCAGTTTTCATTATTTGGCGTCGGAAAATATTCACGAAAACTTTTAGCTACGTTCTGCAAATGCTCACAAATTATAAGTTTAACCTCTTGTTTCTGCCTCGGATTTCAAAAACGAATCTAAAGAAGAAAATGTATATAGATGATTGGTCCACGCGGTTAGCCCAAATATGTAATTTTTGTATGGTGGCTTCTATTTTTTCTTCAGCCTCAAAAATATGTATGCTTTTGCCCTGTAATTGTAGATTGAGTTCATTTAAAAAAGCAAAAATATCCGATAAGTATGCTGTCAAGCACATCCACGAAAAATCGTTCAGTCGTTCAGCCAATTCAAATTTATTGTCATTTAAAAAAAGGCGAATGCCGTCACGAAGTTCAAAAACTCGAGCCAAAATTTTCCTCGTGACAGCCATCGTACTTCTGTATGTAAAAAGAGTTGAACGTGTTCACTGCCTGCTTCTTCACATATTGCTTGAAAAACCCGAGAGTTTATTGGTCTGACCTTAATAAAATTAACAATTTTAACAGTTTCTTCTAGTGTTGATTTTAATAATGGCGACATTTTTTTGCAAGCTAGGACTTCCCTATGGATACAGCAATAAGTCCATGTTATATCAGGTGCTACACTTGCCACAAGACCGGTTAATTTTCCTGACATAGCACGGGCCCCGTCTGTACTTAATCCAACACATTTGTCCCACTGTATATTAGATTCAGTAAAAAAATCATTCAAAGCATTAAACACACAGTCAGCCGTAGTACGCATTAGTTCCCGTAAACAAAAAGTCTTCATGAATTTCACTATCATAGTCGTAACGAACAAATACCAACAAAATTGCTTTGCTTGAAATATTTGTACTTTCGTCAAGTTGCATAGCGAACATTTTACAAATCTGGAGTCTTGAAATTAAAGTCTGTTCAATATTAAGAGATAAGTCGGTTATTTTTCTTTTTATAGTGTTGTTTGAGAGAGGTATTACTTGCAACTGTTTTGCAGCTGAATCACTAATCATAGTCTTACACATGATCTGATCAGCTGGAACAAGAAACTCTTCTGCTATAGTGTGGCACTTTCCAGATTTAGCAATTAATTTAAAAACGATACTCAAGCCGATACTCAGCTCATGTTTAACCAAGTACGAGATCGTTCTCAATCAAGAGACGATTTATAAACAGTACTTCGTGAATTATCGGAGAAGTATCGGTCGAGTATAGATGTATAGGGACTTTCGTATTTATTTGGTAATTTTATATTGGGACTATTGGCGAACCTGACAAATCTAAGATGGCGTCAATGTTATTATGTAAATATGTCTTTTGAATCGCTGAAGGACTGGCGAAGATCACGAAGATTACCGGACACAAGCTACAATATAATATACACTTTATGTAAGAAAGTAGACATGGAATCATAGAAACATTGCTGCTTGTTGTATAGAATCTCTAGAATAGAAAGCTACTTGCATAGAATCTTGAATATACCAGCAATTGAGTAATGGGTGATATTTGATATTGGTAGTCCACGATTATCCGCTTTCAATAATGGTTCGTTTAAAAAAGGCAATATCACCTCAATAATAGTGGCCTTTGAAAACCGAAACCTTTTCCGAAATTCTACATGCGAGAAAAACTCAAAAGGATTTTTGCCATCTCGTATATATATTTTACTAACACGTTGGTCTT